AGACACAGGGAGACCTTTCTGACCTTTTATACCTCATTTCATATTACCCATCAAAGACTTAAGCATTGAGCATTGGCCAATGGTCTCAACCCATCAAACCAAAATTTGCTACCATGGCAAAACTCACAACTCATTGCCCACCAGCCCATTTCAGAAAAGGTGCCAGCCGTTTCTGATGGTTTTTTACAAGGTTTTTTTTGTTTTTCAAGACCCACAGAATATTGTGTACTATGACTATCGGAAATCCGAAACCGGATTATGAAAGAATAGACTACTTTCATCAGCAAAAATAATTTTGTTTCTAGCTTGTTTCGTTCCCCTGTAATCCCCAGTTGAGTAGAGGGAAGTTTTACTGAAATCACCAAAAAGCTGAGAAAAAAGAGGCACAACAAGTGCATCCTGTTTTCAAAACATACTGAGGCAGCGCTGGTGGCACCTGCTGGCTCGATAGAATATGCTCTAAAGCTAATCCCTATACATATTAGATATAATAGACATCTGGGAACATGAAAATAGCGCAAAACGCACTTGACGTGTTAACACGTCCATGAATTTTGGACGGGGAGTGATTTTTTTTGGACCACTCTAGTTTGGGAGCTATGAATTTTTGAATGCACTTGTTAAATGAATGGGGTTCACACCGGCTGACGCATGCGCAGATGCGTTTTTTCACAATTTTCTTGTGGGCGGGACCACTCGTGGCCATTTTGGATAGCTCCGTTACGGCACAATTTTTGGCCAATTTGTTTGAACGGCGGAGATAGGCATGACTGCGTCCGTTAATATTTACAGTCTATGGGTAGGACACGTCATGTCATGGGGGTGACAGTGGCTCAGTTGGTAGAGCATTGGCCTTTGAGCCTGAAGGTCGTCCTACTTACCTACTTCACATCTCCCACTGATGACTGCTGTTGCTGTGTCCTTGGGCAAGACACTTAACCCCACTTTGCCTGAAGCCCCTGTTGAAAGATCTCAGCTCCTGTGGACTCACCACCTGCAGGAGGATCAGTGAGGGGCTGGTGCTAAGTGTACTGGGTGCAGCTCTGACTGCCACCCCCCGATCCAGAAATGGATTAAGGGGAAGAAAATGGATGGATGGGTAGGACACGCAGAGTTCTCACTAAGGAGAGAATGACACCTCAGTGTGTGCTCAGAATGTGTGGTCCTCAGCAGGACCACACATACCTGATCTACAGTGAGGCGCCACCCTGCTGCGTGTTAACACGACAATGGCAGACAACAGTACTATTTGGTTTTACGTGTTTACACGTCAATGGCAGTCAATGAGTTAAAAGAATACAATAAAAACAATAAAAAAATTGTATTCTAAATGGAGACTAGTAGAAATAATCTATTGATAAAATTAATCATTCAATTAGTTTTCTATACTCTGCCTTCTTCACCTTTGGTCCAGTTCTATTTCCAATAAAAATACCACAAAGAATGTGTGACAATCTGAGGGTTTGCATTAAGTTAAAACTTTAAATAACTGTCAAAACATAGTTCATCAAGTGTATCTCATTTTGATCATTGCTCTGAGTTGTTTATGCTCATCACTTAAGTTACAGTTACAGTACAGGATTCAACAAATTGGACATTCTTGGAATGAGGACAGCAGGAAAAGTAAAGGCAGAGTTAAAAGACACAAGACAGTTTCAAAAGACATCAATACAAGATAGCGCTGGTTGCGCTGTGCTGAGCGCCTGGTTCACTCAGACTGTTTCATTTCAGGTGGGACCAGGCAGTGGGGGCGGGTTCCGCATCAAAAGTGGCCAAAATGACGTGCGCTGACATGCTTGCAATACCACCCAGGCCGATGGGGGTGGACCCAGAATACGAGTTGCCAATGCTAACATATAGCGTTGGCAGACCCCTCGAAAACGTCTTTACATGATGGTCCAAAAGTTGGCTCTTGAGCCAAAGCTCCGTTCCACATGTGTCAATGCTGAGGGGGGTGAATTTTTTTGGACCACTCTGATTTGGGAGCTGTGAATTTTTGAAGGCACTCGTTAAATGAATGGGGCTCACGCCGGCTGACGCATGCGCAGATGCGTTTTTTCACCATTTTTTTGTGGGCGGGACCACTTGCGGCCATTTTGGATAGCTCCAGTACGGCACAATTTTTGGCCCATTTGTTTGAACGGGGGAGATAGGCGTGACTACGTCCGTTAATATTTACAGTCTAAGGACATGCTCTCAGAGTTCTACCCATCAGAGGACCACACATACCTGGTCTACAGTGAGGCGCCACCCTCCTGCGTGTTGAAAGCGCCTCCAGAGCCATCAGCGCCACTACCTGCTACGGCGACACCCAAACACACACAAGCCAAGCGACCAGCACCCCGAAGCACAGATGACAAGCGGGACAAATGTCAACAATTTGCATGGTTTTAAAGTGTAGCGTCTGGTGCCCCCACCTGGTGGGTGGATTAACTGCCCACACAACTACATATGTAAAAAATTTACACAAGTGAATATTTATTCACCATCTTCTAAGATTTTTTACCTAACAAATGTTGTACAGCAGAATTGAAAATCCCTCTTCATAAATGCCCACTATAAGTCAGTTGTGTCCGCACTCAACTCTGGCTCAATTAGAACGCCTTAAGTCACTGTTAGATTGGCAGAAATGTAAAGCCTGTAGTGTGGTTACCTAATACTTTATGTAACAGTGGATATTAGGTGAGCTGGTGCTGGCAGAGAATGGACACAGAGCAGATGTTTTTACTAAAGCCAATGACAACCAACAGAATGTTTTATTAGTGTCAGTTAAGTTGCTGTAAAATTGTGTTACATATTACTAATTACAATCTAGACAAAATACTATACTTATTTACTACATCAATAAATTAACCTTTAATTATTTTTGAATTTTGTACTTGTACAAGCCACGCTCGATTATAAGCAGCACCTTTACCACAGTGTAATTAGGCCCGAGCCCCGAACGGGGAAAGGGCCTATTGTTTTTGCTCGTTAGGCCCGAGCCCCGAACGGGGAAAGGGCCTATTGTTTTTGCTCGAGAGATGTCAAATTCTGCACTTTGAGCCTTAATTTCACCCCCTGAACATGCATGAAAAGTTGTAAAATTAGACCTGGTGAAAAATTTGATATTTTGGTGTTTATTTTTATGGGACTCAAAAAATGCCAGAACAGCGCCACCTACAACAGCCAATGGGAGTTTCAGAGGTCAAGTTTGTTGTAGAGCCATGAAATTCAGTACACATGTTCCTCAAGTCAAGATACGACCAAAATGTTATCATGGCTCCGCCCTCTGACAAACAGGAGGCCAATAAATTTCACTGCAAAATGGAAAAATGATCCGCAATCATTTTCATACATGTCGGTTGAAAAGCGACTCCTCCTCGGCCGATTCACCGATTTGCCTCAAAATCGCTCCAGATCATCTCAACACATGTACCTTCAAAATGACCAAATTGATTTTTGATCAGTGAAACATTGTTTGAGCAGCGGAGCGGCAAAATGTGAGTGTTTTTTGACCGTTTTTCACAACATTAATTTTGCTCCCGTTTGCACAAACAAAGTCTGATTTGCACAAAACTTGAATCCAATGTTCAACCCCAGGGTTTAGGTCAGGTGAAAGTGAAATATTTGAAATTGGCCCAATAGCGCCCCCTACAGATTGAGGCAAAGGTTTACATGGGGTGCCAAACAGCTCTAATCATCATTTTCATTACAATTTGACTAACATTCTTCTATGGCAAGAGCAACAAATCATCACAATCACACGGCGGCCCCACCTCCTTTGCATGGTGCTGCGTGGTACGGTGTGGTGCGGCGTAGTGCGGGGGGTAGTGGAGCGGCGCGTTGTGGCTTCGTGTGGGGCGGCGTGGTGCAGATCCGCTTGGTGCGGGGTGGAGTGGTGCGGGGCGGCTTGATGCATGGCGGCTTGGTGCGGGGCGGCTTGATGCGGGGTGGCTTAATTCAGGACGGCTTGGTGCGGGGTGGCTTAATTCAGGACGGCTTGGTGCGGGGTGGTGCGCGCGGTGCGGCGAGGGGCCGTTTGACGCCGCTTGCGGCTTTAATTTTACTGTTATTTTTACTGTGAGTAATAAGAGAAAGAGTAAGTGAGAACTGACTTTTTAATCTTAGTGTGAAGCAGAGAGATAAGGAGCAACATCTACTGCACTACTACATCTTTTCACTTTTAGGTTTGTACAAAAAACTTTTTATTATGACATATTTTCAAAAATATGTTATAAGTTACGGAAGCTTATTGCATTCACTTGAATTAAAAAAGTTTGTTTTTATGAGTAAATTCTCTGTTTTTATGAGACAAATTAATCCTGTTTTTATGACTTGAAAAAATCCTGTTTTTATGACTTAAAAAATCCTGTTTTTATGACTTAAAAAAATCCTGTTTTTACGAGACAAATAAATTCTGTTTTTATGACTTAAAAAAAATCCTGTTTTTACGAGACAAATAAATCCTGTTTTTACGAGTCAAAAAAATCCTCTGTTCAATGACCTGACCAGTGTGACCAGCTTGATGCAATGGACAAGTTTTTTGGGGGAAACCACGGGCGCGGCCAGAGCTGGTGCTTGCCTTGTTGGGGTCCTAAGCAGAAGTCGGCATAGGGGCCCTACACATAATTCAAGAAACCATAAAATTTAAAGAGGCTATATGGAAGTTTCACCACATATAAAACTATACAGAATTAAAATTTCTTCCACATACATTCTCCAGCAATGCCTTGGTGTGTAGAATGAGCCCTGGATTGCCTAGCATTTTCATTGCTATTGCCTCTATACTGTATGCCAGGGGTCCCCAATTAAATTGGCATGAGGTCCACCTACTTGATTAGTTCAATAGATCAGGGTCCGGACATCAGACAAATATTTTATTTCATATAAATCCATTCAAGCTTCAACCTTAAACAACGACTATAGATGTGTATAATTCACACATAACAGCAATGTACTTTGTTTATTTCTACACAACACAAACCTCTCCCAAACTCTCAGAGCAGAGGCTGCAACACATGATGATTGTGGAGGATCAGGGGATCCACACTCTGACCTCCTCCTCCTCCTCACACTCTGACCTCCTCCTCCTCTACACACACTCTGACCTCCTCCTCCTCTACACACACTCTGACCTCCTCCTCTACACACACTCTGACCTCCTCCTCCTCTACACACACTCTGACCTCCTCCTCCTCTACACACACTCTGACCCCCTCCTCCTCCTCACACTCTGACCCCCTCCTCCTCCTCACACTCTGACCTCCTCCTCCTCCTCACACTCTGACCTCCTCCTCCTCCTCACACTCTGACCTCCTCCTCCTCAACACACACTCTGACCTCCTCCTCCTCTACACACACTCTGACCTCCTCCTCCTCCTCACACTCTGACCTCCTCCTCCTCCTCACACTCTGACCTCCTCCTCCTCCTCACACTCTGACCTCCTCCTCCTCTACACACACTCTGACCTCCTCCTCCTCTACACACACTCTGACCTCCTCCTCCTCTACACACACTCTGACCTCCTCCTCCTCTACACACACTCTGACCACAACAAGGCTTTTTATGCCAGAAATCCACTGCACTCAGTGAGCACTTAAGTAGGGCATACGCTGTTTGTTAATGCTTTTAATATGTTTTTGATGTGTACCTCTGTGTCGCTCCTCCTCGCTGCTCCTCCTCACACACCTCTGTCTCGCTCCTCCTCCTTTGCTCATACACAGTCAGTGTGAGCAGCTGAACGCGAGCGTCCATCGCTCCGTACACAGCGCCCATGGCTCATTTCCGTCTCTTTCACGTCTCTGACTCTCACTCGGAGACACTGCTAAAGTTATTTTCACAGCTCCGTAAAGTTTTCTCGAAGGACCCCACATTGCCGCCCTCGCGCCTGCCTGTTTACAAATCGCTTTTGGTGAAAATTTGACACATAATTGTAATAATATACTTTTGTACAAAAAAAAAACACGGAGGTCCAGATAAAAGGGTCTTGGGGTCCGGACCTGGACCGCGGTCCGCCATTTGGTGACCCCTGCTGTATGCCTATAAACATGTCTTTATATGCTTGGAATTTGAGGATTCGGGTCGAAACCATCCAGGGCAGCGTGATGCGTAATGACGTCATGCGCGTTCACGCTAAGCTGTAGCAGCAGAGGAAAGGTAAACATGCATAAATTTTAACATTTGACGAATACTGTTTTTGTAATTAATGTAAATTGTCTTATTGTGAAGCAGCAAATCAATGGAGCTGAAGGAAGAGGCTTTGAATGAGGAGCAAGCCAACAATCTGGAAAACAGTGTGTACGTTATTCTCAATGTAATTCAATGTGTATGTGTTGGTTCATAATTTACGTATTGGGCTGTTCTTTTTTAATTCCAAAATAGAGTTTGAGGGGGATGGAGTTTCAGACCCGTATGATTCAGATTATGTGCCACCAATCTCATTACGGTATGTATTTTTTTACGGTATTATCTTTTACTTTTCACTCACTGATAGTATACATTTCATTTGGGTTGTAAAATAGCAGTGCATCGCAAGATATGGTCGACAAACTTCCTTGCATTGGGCTGGAAGAATCTATATTAGACATTGCCAACTGTGTTGAGGAAGTCCAAGAAGCAGATCTTGAGGAAGATTTGGAAGAAGAGGCAGCAGCCACCATTCCCATTTTCCCAAAACCATGTCGAGTGGTTGTTGAAAGTGACCTTGTAAACCAGCAAGCATGCATAGCATACAACAAACACCTGTGCAGATGGCAACTTTTCTCCAATTGCCTGTCAATAAATGCCATAAAAGACTTTTCTGTAAAGTCACATGCGCGAGGTACATCTTTGATATTGGAGTGGGTGAGTTTACATGGTTTGCACATGTGTTTACCAGACTAAGTACAAATATGGTATATGTGTGAAGTTACATACTTGTTAACACTTTCTTCCCCGTATAGTTTTGACCGCATGGCCACAAATTATGGAGTTTATGCACGGAGGATATTTTATGTTGTTCTCCAATATTTCCCTCTTATTCAAATTCATGAATATCTGCATGGTGCCTCCTCAACATCTTCTGCAGTCCAGGGAACCTACTGTCTAAAAACAATAAAGCAGTTTTGGGACGTTTTAGCTGACGGGAGGATCTACTTTCCAGGTAATGCACAAATCTCTGTGGTATTTCATTAATATCGGTGTGTTGTTATTGAAATGTTTGTCATTATTATTTCCCCCACAATCTATATATTTTTCCAAAAAGGTCACTCTGCTATGTGCTGTACGTACACAACGATGGAGCTAGACACCATGGACATCGTAAGTGTTTATTGTATTTAACACAGGTCTGGTAAGACTTTTTAAAATCTTATTGTGGTGTCTTCAATCAGGCTGGAATCAGATTCAGATTCATTTATTTGCCATTTGCAGTAAAACTACATTGGAAAAACTGTGCAAGACTACCCCGGTGTGCACCAGACAGAGAAGACGACACACACCAGAGCTCTTGCCACGGCGCCATCTTTACGGCGCCATGCGACAAACAGTAGAATAAACAGCAGAGAGCAATAACAAACAGTTTCACAGACAGTTGGATAGACACATTGTGCTTTGTATAAAGCACGGATTTTTTCTCGGGATGAGCACCTCCGACAGCCGGCCAATGTGGCTGTCAGAGGGGGGCGGGGTCAGGGAGGGGGGTGAGTCGGAAACACAGTGAGGAGTGGAGGGGAGGGAGGGAGCAAGATGGATAGGTAGAGGGAGGCGGGGGTAGGGGATCCAAGCTGGAGACTGAATAGTGTGAGTTGTTGTAGATGGGACTTTTGTTATTATGGCCTTGGCCGAGGAATGTGAGATAAGAGTGGAGAGAAGGCACAGGAGGAGAAAACACATCGCCTCAGGGGGACAATATTAATGCAATGTAGCAGTTAAAAGCAGGTAGATATTCTATTAAATCCAATTAAACCGAATTGCGGCGCCCTCAGACCCCGTACACAGGGGCAAATCCAAGCCGGGTCAGAGAGTTCAAGCCTGGCAAACGATGTCATTCAATCTCAACTCCAGAGTTTTATTCCCTTCGAGTGAACGAGCTGCGAGATCTTTTATTAACTGTTCCACCAAAACCACTCTCCTTTGTCCAGACACGGCGCTCTCAACCACGACGCGGCTAAGCTCCTTGTACATCCCATCAATTTTGTCGGCCAGCAGGTCGTGAATCTTGCGAACTGCCATGCCTCCGAATTTCTGGTAGAAGAGGATTGCTCCAAACCCAAACAGGAGGATTCCCACCACCAAAATGCCAAAGATATATACGTCTTCCGAATCTTCAATGGACAGGGTCGACAGACAGAGGGGCTGAAACTTGTTCCAGCTGTCAAGAGTATACCCCGCTGGTGAAGTCCCGTCCGGGCACACGGGCTCTCCAGACCCACGCTTACGTGTTGAAATCGTTGGAATCGTTTCTGGTCAAAAGGCTTTACTTGTATGGATCGAGGACATCTTTAACCATTTCTGGTATGCTTGTCAGCACACAAGCCCCAGAGAGGAGTTTATGGTCTGTATGAACATTGGATATTTATAACGTCACTAGATAATGTCATTTTCTCTTTGTGTGGTGACATGGTATAACTTTTGATATACAACGTATTGTATACATTTAGGGTGTATGGAGAGGTGCACTTCACCATATGTGCCTCTGGAGGATAAACAGCACAAAGAGCCCATTCCACGTGGTTCTTAACCGGAGGTGGCTGAAGGACATTGAGAAGTTGCTCACCTTTCGGTAAGTCATGTCATGGGTGACATCTTGTGGGAATGTACAGGAACTGCCTTTTTAATACTACAAAGTATATTATATTACACAGAGATCGAATGTATTTGTATGTTTGACGTTACAATAATCTTTGTTCTGTAGGACAACTTCGAAGCTCGAATCTTTCCAAAACCATGTCCTGATGTACGCAGGGAAGCGTTTTGGATTTACTTATGGCGCCTATGAAGCTCGTACACTCCTCGCTGCATTAGACTACAACTTCCATAACCATCGCCCAGTGCAAGTGAACAGCAAAGGCCAAGTATCGTAAGTCATACTTTATTATCAAGATACAGTATAAAAGCAATAAAGAAATATATTATTTCTACTGATGTCTACAGAAAAAGTCTCAGCGTTACGCTGTGAAGGAGACTAAAGACTACAGCTCTATCCCAGACCAGCGCCTCAGCTCTGCTGGGGGACTCTCAAAAAATGTAAGCAGATGACCCCAGGGCCATGGGTCCTCTGTCCTCATCATCCCTCCTCCTGCTGGGGGACTCATGACCCCAGGGCCATGGGTCCTCTGTCCTCATCATCCCTCCCCCTGCTGGGGACTCATGACCCCAGGGCCATGGGTCCTCTGTCCTCATCATCCCTCCCCCTGCTGGGGGACTCATGACCCCAGGGCCATGGGTCCTCTGTCCTCATCATCCCTCCTCCTGCTGGGGACTCATGACCCCAGGGCCATGGGTCCTCTGTCCTCCTCATCCCTCCTCCTGCAGCTGAACTGGAGCAGACACAACAGAGGACAGGTAGTGATGATAATCAAGTGGGAAAAAAATCTCTATGATATAAAATATTTTTCTTTCTTTTTCCAGGACTTTTTTATCTGGTCCCTGAACAGAAGCTGACAGCAATCAAAGATGGACACAGCACATTTATTTATATTATGTCAAATATAATTTTTTTCCCCCCAAACATTGAAATAAAAGAAAGACTCATTTCTAAAGTGGTGATGAGTTGAATTTTAGTTTTAATTCCCTACTGTGGAAGGAATAAAGGGGCGTCTTTATAACCCACATGTCCTGCTCTTCTCATTCTAGCCTGGCCTCTCCTCTGGCTGCTCCTCTTCCTCCTCTTGCTGCTCCTCTTCCTCATCTTTTTGCTGCTCGTCTGCCTCCTCCTCTCCCCCATTCAAAGTCACTGCTCGCAGAAACTACAGATTCAACTGGACTGGAGTCCTGGAAGGAAAAGCAAAAAGATTTAGATGTCACTGTTCTGGAATGTGTGTTTTGTACAAACTTCATCGAAAAAATATTTTGAATTTATCAGAACAGTTGATATAGTTTTGTACCTACAGACAACTTGTGTAGTATTAGTAGCAGACTAGTGTCAGTAATAACACTAATAAAAACAAAACAGTAACAGTGGTAATTATGCTGTATTTTCTATGGGAATGATAATGTTGCTAATGTTAGCTTGTCTTGGCTGCAAAATAAGAGTGA